CTCGAAACGTGTCGACTGGGTCCGGTTCGATGTGCGGCGTCAAACCGCCCGAGGGCGCCGACGCTCCCGGCACGATATCCCCCTGGCCCGTTCCACCGAGTCCGTCGTCACGCCGGGTCACAGCCACCTCCAGCTCCGGATCGCTGAGATGCTGCACTCGCGGCGTCATCCAGTTGAGCGCACAGGCCACCCGTAAGTGACCCACGGCGTGGCATCTGTAGCAGCGCAGCTGCCGTGCCGGACACTCGAAGTCGGCGTGCTGTCGCAGGCAGCGACGGCACTGCGTCTGGTCCAGCAGTCGACGATCTGCACCGCGAGACGAGACGAACACGCCGCGGCCCTGCCACCGTCCTCTTGAAACTCCCATCGCTGTCGATGCGCTGACCCCGGTCGTCGAGACGCTGTGTGGGCCGCGCAGCTGACCGACCCCGGCACCACGCAGCTGTCCGCGGCCACGGGCGCCGCGACCCCGGCCGAGGTAGCCGATGACGTCATCTCCAGAGCCGCCCCCGAAGGAGTCCGACGCTCCGCTGAACTGCGAGGCGTCTGAAACTGCCGATTCGCTGAGTTGAGCGATTTGAATGGCTGAAGCAAGCGACAAATTCGCCTCTCTGAGCAGCTTGGCTTGAACTGGCTCATTCCTCAGACCGCACACAAATCTGTCCCGCAACATTTCGTCCGTTGTTGCGCTCAGAAACCGGCATGGTTTCGCTAAATGGCGCAACCGGGCGACAAACGCCGACACAGACTCTCCCTGGTCCCGAACTGCACGATTGAACTGATATCTTGCAGCGATTGATGATTGCTCAGGCTCAAAGTGCTCCAGCAAAATCTGAACGATGTCTTTGAAACTCACTGAGCTCACTGTGGCAGGTGCGATCAGGTCTTCTAAGAGACTGAAGGTAGTCACACCAACCGCACTGAGGAAAATGGCCCGGCGACGCACATCTTCCTCTTCTTCCACGCCGTTAGCAATAAAATACTGCTCCACGCGGCGTGTGTAGGTACCGAAGCTCTCCAAGCTCGGATCAAACTCTGGTATCCGACCAATGCCAGCCATCCCTGATCCCTGGCCCGGTTCGTAGCACCTCGTCGCCACTGTTCCAAACACGGCGGTCCGCTCTGAACTGGCTGTATTGGGCTCGGTCCACATGCCCCAGGCAGGGTCACCAGAGGCGGCTCCAGGCGACCCACCGAGGGTGGAATCACGGGCGTACCCAGACCCCAAGCCCGAGTAGGTTCAGTCTACCACAACGTAGTTCAAACCGATGGCGTCATAGGTCAGGTCAAATGTCGAATTTTCATCGTTTACGGGTATTTCAAGAAATGCGTTGTAAACTCGAGTAAAATGCATTTCAATGTAAATCATCGATGGGGAAATGTTCATCAAACACATATTTTGCTATTTGAGGTCACTGATACCAGGTCAGGTCACAGAGGTCAGGTCAATGAAGGTCACATTATGAAAATATGTGATGCATGTTTTATGGTCCATTTTATATGCCAAATACGATTATGTGGGTCAGGCAGCCTTTGGGGTCAGTTTAGATTATGTTCTGGTGAAGGTCAGGTCAAATTCCACTAGGTCCTCCCCGTGGCCTAATGGATAAGTCATCCGTCTCCTAACTCGGTGGCAGCGAGTTCGCGGCCGGGAAGCTCCACACCGTTTGACCCGCGTTCCTATATTAAACCAGCTGGCAACTGGCGAGACAGGGCCACGCTAGACCCGGGAGGACCGTGCCGCCATCTACCTGCGGCACGTTAAACTTTCGGTCCAAATTATCACCGGTGAACCGGGCGCTGGCAAGGCCGTGGTGTCCGTGGTGTCATTCGCAACAAGCAGTGCTTAGCGTGGCACCCGGGCCCATAGCCACCCATTCATCCATTCGAAAAAAAATCTAAAAAAATTAGGTCAAATTTCAAAGTTGATATTTTTGCATAAAATGGGTATCGATCCGATGCAGTTCGTCACGGAGAGTTCAATGGTGGTCTTTGTTTCGCGCTACGTGGTCTAGAAATGCTGAAAATTGAGTTAATGAATTTGACGTCATGAACTTTGAAGTTTTTTTCGCTATAATTTGGCCAAAAAGGAGGTATCGATCTAAAATTTGGTATGTATAGTATATATAAGAGCGCAGGGACTGTCACATATCTTCCGGTTTTTTTTCGATATTCGGAAAATTTTGCATTTTTTATTGCTTTTTTCTTAAAAATAATTTTTTTTTATTATTGGGGGTCAAAATCCCAAAATTTTGAAAATCCGAGATAGCAGTATTGTAGCGCCGCCTTTTGTCTACATGACCATATAAAAAACTTTGAAATTGCTTAGTAACTGTAGCTTTTGTAAACGTGTCAATATTTCATGTTTTTGCTCATTTTTGCTCGAACATGACCTCAGTTTGACCTCAATAACTCCTGACCTTAGGTGACCTAAGACTTGAAATTTTGTGTGAAGGTGTCAAATTGATGCCCGGGTAGGTACTTGAAATTTGGCGGCGCTGCGCGTCGCCGTTTTCTTACTTTTTAGGAAAAACCACAGGGGGAGGGGGCAAATTGCCCGCCCAGCGGGGCGAGGGTTAATGCACTAAACCAACGATTTAATGGATAATTCAAATCGCGAAGAACCGCCGCGCGCGCGGGTGGCGCGTAACTGACTCCGGGTTGTTGGTGCCGCGTGCTGCCAATTTTTTTAAAATGTAGAAGTGTCTCCAGATTTTTTTACCTTTCGCTACGTAATGCTGAACGGCCATTGCGGCCGGCCCTATCTGGTATGCGGCCGGCCCTATTTGGCACAAAAAAATATCTAGAATTATCCAGCTAGTGTTAACTCTTGCATGTGTGCGGCGTTTGTCAGCTTCTAACGTGTAGGGGGGGGGGGGGGTCGGTTGGACCCCCCCCCCCTTGCCGTTTGGCCCCTGATCGAGCTAGAGCTTCGCGGAAAAAAACGAGTGTGGAGCGTGTTGCCCGTAACGATGGGAAGCCGATGATACCCAATTTTAAGGTCCTATGTCATTGATTGACCTTCCAAGGTCAGGTCAATGACCCAAAAGTCGCGAAAATTGGGACCTGCTAGAACTTCGTAAAGTGAAGCTGATACGGGGTTTTCCGGGGTGCCTATCACGAATTTCATGTTAGTTTTGATTACAGATGATGTCTTCATTCATTTAGGTCAGGTCTGGTCAGGTCAACCATTAGGCGTCCTGCCGGCTATACATAGTACATAGGTGTCAACTACCACTGACGACGTCGTAACATGTTACGAAGGCACTAAAACTACTTAGCAAAGGTTCAAATGGATGCTAAATTCGAAATCAGCCCGAAAACTACCCTAGAAACATGTAAAACTAGAAAAAAGTTAATTTTTGGCGGGCACGAGACGCGACCGTTTTGACATGACTGATTATGAGGGGCTGTGCATGTTTTATAAAGTCGTTCCACTTGAGAAGCGCCGTACCGCCTTAGATCTGTCATTTATGTGTGTCGTCTTATCGGGAAAGTTCGCTGCTTCTTGGTCACTTTTCGTTGCGTGTGCCGGTCCGCGCGACCCGTAGCCCAGGAGCAGGACTTTCTTTGTACCGCCCGGCAGAGTAACTACATCGATGTCCGCGCTCTTTTCTCGGCTGCCGCGTGCTTTTAACGCATTTTTACTCATTCATCCGTCTTTTGACATTTTTAATGATTCGAAGTCTGCTTTGCTCCGGTTGTATTATTCCAACATTTAGTTTTACATCAATGTTATGCTTGCTGGATATTTAATTGTATTGAATGAATGATCGTGTGAATGAGGACCACCGTCAATGGGTTTTACCTGTGTGTGGCTTTTCAAATGAATGAAAAAAGAAATGAAACCGAGGTCATCAAAGGTCAGTGACCTGATTTGACCTTCAGGTGAAATCAGGTGAAAAATTTGAACTTCAGGTGACGTTGAAACCCACCGTAATGCATGGGACGAACATCATTTCACATGTTTGGACGTTTATAATCACAAAAAGACTAGAAATGTGCGGATAATGTGAGCTGACATACGCTGAATCGCGATTCCGGCCAAACATGGTATCGAGAAAAGGGTCACAGGTCAAAGGTCATTTAGGTCAGGTTCATGAAATTTTCAGAGTAGGTGTAAAATTGATCAACTCGAGGGTACTGCAAGTTTCGTCGCGATCGGCCGCGTTTTACGCGAGTTATTTGCGAAAAACCATGGGGAGGGGTCCATCCCCATGTGGGGGGCCACATGCGAGGGTTAAGCTATGGGCTCGTAGGGAAATTATTTGTGTAGACCGTCAAAAGTAGCGGCTGGCAGATGAACCGAATTTTGGAGGGCCGTCATTCCAAAAATAGACAATTTTGAGACGAATGACTTCGGACTGGGGCCTCAGCCACCTTAACACGTTTCACTGAATAACTCCGAAATTTAGGAAAAAAAAAACTGATAATCCCTTTAATGCTGCGCCATACGTTTAGGTGGTCTCTTTGGAAAAAAAAAACTCAGGGCAGAATGTCGCTGAATATATCTGGTCTTCATCATTGGAAAGAAAAAAAAACATCGGTGTATGTGAGGACACAAAAAAATGTGTGCATGTACAGAAGCATATCATTGCGCGCTTCCATTATTGAATAGTCAACCCTTAGCAGTAGGTAACTATTACTGTTTTTGTGGGAGAAATAATCCGTACATTGCAATGTGTTAAGGACTGTACGTAAACTTTGTTCAAACTAATGCTTGTTTTCTTATAACTCAACCGGTGAGGGGAGCGAGGGTAAACAAAAATTGGGAGTTTCCTTGGACATGTGTGCTGCTAGTTGTGCTGCTGCTGCTGGTGGTGCTGGTGGTGGTGGTGGTGGCAGTGACGGTTGTGGTGCTGCTGCTGGTGGTGGCGGTCGACGCCGGCGTACGGCCTGCAGAACGTCAAACAGTCGTACCGGCTGCGTTGGCGGGCTATGCGCCGGCGCGCCGACCACCCGCGGTGCAGCCCGCCTGATGCCGCTCGGTCCGTTAACAGCAGCGCTTCTCTGAACACGAGCAACTGCTGCGTGACTGGGACATGAAGCGCTTCTTCCCGGCGGTGAGCGGGCCGGCCCGGCGTCACCGCCGGCTGGAGTCAGAGTCAGCCGTGTCGGCGGCGCCGCAGCGCTCCCGGGAGGCGCCCGAGCCGGGCACGGCCGGCCGACTGCGCCAGTGGGTGCGCCGCCGAGAGAAGACGGACCTGGAGCTGACGGCGACGCGCAGCGCGGCCGGCGCCGCCGGCCTGGCCAAGTCATGCTCGGAGCCCGCCCCGTTCGAGGTGACCGGCCTGCGATCGCTCCCGCCGCTTACTAACAGTGGATGGCGCCGCCCGCCGACTGCTGCCCCCTCGTCGTCTGTGTGCTGTGACAGTAGCGGTAGAGTTGCTTCAACTAACAGCACTGCTTGGCCGAGAGGCGCGTCGCTGCTGCGGTGGGGTGCGCTGAGCTCTGTTGTTTGAGGTGCGCTGTGGGATGCCTCTGGGCTGCTGCGGCAGTGGCGCTCCATCCGCCACGGTTGGCGGCCCGCTCTCTGCGATGACCTGTAAAGTCCTGGCTACACTATGCGTTTTCTGCGTGCGTTTTTTGCGAGTTTGCGTGATTTGCGGAATATCGTTCTAGAAAAAAGGTTATTATTAATTTAACTTCTTTAATATTTATATAAAAGTTAATAAAACGTTTACGTTAATTAAAAGTTTATATGAAAAACATACAACAAAAACGTAATGTCGTTTCTTTCTAGAACGATATTCCGCAAATCACGCAAATTCGCAAAAAACGCACGCAGAAAACGCTTAGTGTAGCCAGGCCTTTACTGGTTGTTACTGGTTCAGTTTCTTGTTTCAGCTGTCGTTGGCCGGTGCTCCGTGTCCCATAAAGTCTGCAATCTGCATTTCTTGCCGCTGGCGCCAAACCACCTCAGCTCCTAAAATTTCGCCATTTTTCTCAAAACGTGGGTTCATTGCAAGTTTGCTACTAAATTTAACCCGCGCCGGGCCGGTGCTCTGAGATTCCGCGCCGGGCCGTGGGGGGGTGTCTGAACACCCCGCCCCCCTTCTAACTCGGCTCCTGGGCCACGTAGCGACACGCGGTAAGCGGCAATCGAAAGAACGTCCAAAATAAGGACGAAAACACTTCGGCCATTTTTTGGGTCAGGTCAAAGGTCAGGTCGTCACCAGAGGTCACCAAATGTAAAATCTATATCTAACTTACTATTCAAACAGAATCCGTCTGTCTGTGAGTCTGTGTGTCCGCACATCGTGTAGTGGGTTCAATTAACCTCACCTACACGGCAGATGGTACGGCGTAGGGGGTTGAAATTTGCACACCTTCTAGGTGACGTCACGGGTCAGCGCCTTTTCTAGGTTTCGACTCGCTGGGGTGCACGGTTGGCACGTGGCGGGCGCCGGAAGAACGCCAATGAAATTTTGATCGGTTCGTAGATCTTCATTGAGAGCCGGGGTCGACAAACTTTGTGGACTAAATGCATGCCGATCGGTGGCGGGTGCCTCGCATTGGCAGATGGGCAGGTTATTAATTTGAATGAAAAGTGGCGAGAGAATGTGGTGATTTTCATTCAATGGGAACAGTTGATGATACAAGTATAAAAATGCACCGCGTTTGCCGCAAGGCGTCACATTGGTCACAGGGCGTCATTTTTGCCCCGAATCGCACAGTTTTGTCAAATATGGTCCGATGTGGGTGCAATTTGGTGCAAAGATGCATGCTCATCCACCGGGTAAAAATGCGCCGCGTTTGCCGCAATGCGCCACTTTTGTCACAAGGCGCCATTTCCGACAAACTCGACTAAGGCTAATGGAATGGCACGAATAGGAGCAGGGCTAGAAGCACTTTTTAAGTCTGATTTAAAAAAAAAGTTAAATGGATCCAATTATTATGTGAGCTGACATGACCCAGTGGTAGGTAGTGGTAGTGGTAGGGGTAGGGGTAGTGGTAGTGGTAGGGGTAGGGGTAGTTTTAGTAGTAGTAGTAGGGGTAGGGGTAGGGGTAGGGTAGTGGTAGTGGTAGGAGTAGTGGTAGGAGTAGTGGTAGGGGTAGGTGTAGTGGTAGGGGTAGTAGTAGGGGTAGGGGTAGTGGTAGGGGTAGTAGTAGGGATAGTGGTAGGGGTAGTAGTAGGGGTAGTGGTAGAGGTAGGAGTATGGGTAGTAGTAGTGGTAGGGGTAGTGGTAGTGGTAGATGTAGTGTTAGGGGTAGGGGTAGGGTTAGGGGTAGTGGTAGGGGTAGTGGTAGGGGTAGTGGTAGGGGTAAGGGTAGGGGTAGTGGTAGGGGTAGTGGTAGGGGTAGTGGTAGGGGTAGTGGTGGAGGCAAAAGTTAAACAGTGGCCCGGGCTGATCCCATCGGACGAGAGGTGACCTAGGTGACCTGGCCTAACCCAAAGTGACCGGGGATGACCCCTTTGACCCGTCTTGACCCCGTATCACCCCACTTTCATCCAACGAAGCCCTCAGAACAGTTTTTTTATTCCCTTCACATTTCCGTCCATATCTATGCTTCTAGACGACACATCGATTTGAATCGAACACCATTCGAAAGCAAATTGGCCGGTGCCGCAATTTTTTCCTACCACGCAGCAAAGCAAGTGGCGCAGCCGCTTGTCTAACTTACTATTCGAACAGAATCCGTCTGTCTGTCTGTTTGTGTGTCCGCACTTGGTCTCCCCAATATATTGCAGTTGGCAGTTTTGGTGAAATTTTCGGTGACATGGGGTCAGTTATCGGCGCGTGGAGGTCAAACGGTTGCGAGGAGGTGGCTGAAACTTGCGCACCGCGTAGACGACGCTTCGGGCGTGTGCCTTTGCTGGGTCTGCAGTCGGTGGGGTGCACGGTTTGCGCGTGGCGCGCGCTGGAAAAACGTCAAAGTCTCCATTGGTTTAACATGGGAGCGCTTCGGTGCAGTGGTAGATCTTCATTGAGAGCCGGGGTCGAAGAACTTTGTGGACTAAATGCATGCCGATCGGCGACGGGTGCCTCGCATTGGCGGATGGGCAGGTTTTAATTTGAATGAAAAGTGGCGAAAAAATGTGTTGATTGTCGCTAAATGGGTACAGTTTGTGATAGGAATTTACAAATGCACCGCGTTTGCCGCAAGGCATCACATTGGTCACAGGGCGTCATTTTTGCCGCAAATCGCACAGTTTTGTCAAATATGGTCTGTTAAAGTTGCAATTTGGTGCAAAGATGCATGCTCAATCACCGGGTGAAAATGCGCCACGTTTGCCACAATGCGCCACATATGCCACAAAGCGTCATTTCCGACAAATACGATTAAGCGTAATAGAATGGCACGAATAGGGGCAGGGCTGGGAACACTTTAAGTCTGATATTTTAGTACTGATTGGATCCAATTATTCTGTGACCTGACATGACCCAGCGGTGTTGGTAGGGTAAGGGGTAGGGGTAGGGTAGTGGTAGGGGTAGGGGTAGGGGTAGGGGTAGTGGTAGGAGTAGTAGTAGTAGGGGTAGGGGTAGTAGTAGGGGTAGTAGTAGGGGTAGTGGTAGGGTAGGGGTAGGAGTATGGGTAGGGGTAGTGGTAGGGGTAGTGGTAGGGGTAGTGGTAGGGGTAGGGGTAGTGGTAGGGGTAGGAGTATGGGTAGTAGTAGTGGTAGGGGTAGGGGTAGATGTAGTGGTAGGGGTAGGGGTAGGAGCAGTGGTAGTGGTAGGGGTAGTGGTAGGGGTAGTGGTGGAGGCAAAAGTATGTAGAACAGTGGCCCGGGCTGATCCCAGCGGACGAGAGGTGACCTATGTGACCTGGCCTGACCCAAAGCGACCGGGGCTGACCACCTTGACCCGTCTTGACCCCGTATCACCCAAAGTTCAACCAACAACGCCCTCAGAACAGTTCTTTTTTAATTCTCTTCACATTTCCGTCCATATCTATGCTTCTACAGCATTTTAGGCGCAATTTCAAAAATTTAAAGACCAAATTCAAAACGTTCACGTGCATTTCGAATGTAAACTTTTTGAATTTGGTCTTTAACTTTTTGAATTTGGTCTTTAACTTTTTGAACTTGCGCCTAAAAAGGTGTAGACGACACATCGACATGAATCAAACACCATTCGAAAGCAAATTGGCTGGTGCCGCAATTTTTTTCCTACCACGCAGCAAAGCAAGTGGCGCAGCCGCTTGTCTACTATACTATTTGTGAAATGAAACTCTGTCTGTGTTTCTGTCTGTTTGCACCGTGCAGAGGGGTGCTTTGACGCCGTGCACAGGTCAAACGGTGCGGTCGATGGGGCTGAAATTTTCGCAGGGCGTTGATGACGTCACGCGCACGTGCAGTGTCGTGTTTCGAGTCCCGGGGGGTGTATGGATCGCACGTGGCACGCCCTGGAATAAGGAGCATTTTTTCCCAAATTTTGCTCATTCTTGAAGGCATCGGCAGCCGGGTTTGATGGACTTTGCAAGTAAAATGCATGACGATCGGCGGCGGGTGCCTCTCATTTGCAGATTGGCAAGTTATTTATTCTGATAAACAGAGGCGAATGAAGGTGTTGATTTTCGGTAAATAAAGACAGTTTTCAATGCGCTTAACCGAATGCACTGCGTTGGCCGTAGTGCGCCACATTTGTCACGAGGTGCCATTTTTGCCGCAAATCGCACAACTTTGTCAAATATGGTCCGATAAAGGTGCAATTCGGTGGAAGGATGCATGTCAAAATGACAGGTACAAATGCGTCACGTTTGTCGCAACGCGCCACATTCGTCACAAGGCGCTATTTCCACCAAATATGATTAAGAATAATGGAATTACACGAGAAGGAGCACGGTTAGGAACTCTTTTTTTAGTTCATCAGTTTATATGATAATCTGTGACCTCACATGACTCAGTAGTAGTGGTGGTAGTAGTATTGGTAGGAGTAGCGGTAGGGGTAGTGTAGTATTAGGGGTAGTGGTAGGGGTAGTGTTAGGGGTAGTAGTAGGGGTAGTGGTAGGGGTAGTGGTAGGGGTAGTAGTAGGGGTAGTAGTAGGGGTAGTGGTAGGGGTAGTGGTAGGGGTAGGGGTAGGGGTAGTGGTAGGGGTAGTAGTAGGGGCAGTGGTAGGGGTAGTAGTAGGGGTAGGGGTAGGGGTAGTGGTAGGGGTAGGGGTAGTGGTAGGAGTAGTTGTATGGGTAGAAGTAGTAGAAGTGTGGTACAGGCCGATCCAATGTGACGTGGTGACCTATACGACCTGGCCTGACCGAAGGTGACCTGGCCTGACCCAGTGTAACCAGAGATGGCCAACTTGACCTGACTTGACCCCGCATGACCCAACTTTCATCCAA